TAGCTCGCGACGCCCTTGCCTCTCGAATCGGCCGCAACACGCATCGAATCTGTCCAAAATCGGAATCCACTCGCAAATAACTAATTCACACCAAAAATCCTGAAATTGACCAAACCCGACCCCCCGGCCCACGTCTCGGATTCCGATAAAAATTATAAAACTAGAATCCTTACACTCTCACGAGTTCATACAAATCAAATACATCAAAATCTGACCACAAACGACCGCTCAAATCCTCAAATAAAAGTCTCCAATTTCAAGCCCTAACTCCCCAATTTTAGGCTTTAGATTCCACAAATTTCATGTTTCAACCAGTAAGAATCAACACAGGATCGAGGTTTAGGAGCAATAATCTTACCTCAAAGAAGTTCTCTTGAATTACCTCTTCAATCTCCCACAAGAAGCTCCAAAACCGACTCAAAAATGGTGAACTATGGCCAAAAATCGCGAAAATGGCTTTTTAAACATTCTTCCCAGTGATTGAAAATTCCTTCACCGCGATCGCGGAAATAGCCCTGAGATCGCGAAGCACAAATGATGACTGGCCCCATTTAACCCTACACGATCGCGAACACCTCCACGCGATCGTGAAACACTGGCTTCACAAACTCACGCGATCACGGCCTCTCCCGCGCGATCGCATAGAACAACCTGCCTACTCCTCACCAGCTCCTTTCCTTCTATGCGAACGCGACCCTGACCCCGCGTTCACGAACAACAACTTCCCAGCTAAACGCGGTCGCGGTCTTACCTATGCGATCACGTAGAACAAATATCACCCTTGCTCGACTATGCCTACGCAATCGTAGACCATTCTACATGGTCGCGAACAACCAAAATGCCTGCAACAGAACTAAAGAAAATCTACAACTTTTCAAACATGAATTTGATCCGTTTAACCACCCGAAACTCACCCGAGGCCCCCGGGACCTCAACCAAACATGCCAACACATCCCATAACATCATTCAAACTTGTCCCAACCTTCGGAACACTCAAAACAACATCAAAACATCAAATCAACCACGGATTCAAGCCTAAGAACTCCTAAAACTTTCGAATTCCGATTTCGATCAAAAAGTCTATCAATACTCGTCCGAATTACCTGAATTTTGCATACACGTCCCAAATGACACAACGACCTACTCCAACTTCCGGAATTCCACTCCGACCCCTATATCAAAATCCTTGCTACCAACCGGAAAATGCCAAAATTCTAATTTCGCCAATTCAAGCCTAAATCTACTCCGGACCGCTAAAACACATTCTGATCATACTCCTAAGTCCCAAATCACCTCCCGAAGCTATTCGAATCATAAAAGCAAAATTCCAAGATTGTTTCCTCACAAGTCAACTTCCGGTTGACTTTTCCAACTAAAAGACCAACTTGAGAGACTAAGTGTCTCAGACCTTTCCAAAACCATTCCGAATTCGAACCGACTAACCCGATACCATATAACATAGATGAACAAAGAATAAAGAAGCAAAAATGGTGGAAATGGAGCGGTAACTCATGAAACAACCGGCCGGGTCGTTACAGTACTCACTCACTTCAATTAAGTACATATTAACTCTTTTAGACAATTCATCAAACACCTTGTATGCATGCTTCTGTGAGTTAAACCACTTTAGTAAAGGGTTATATCAACTCACCTCAAAACTCCTCGAGCAAATACGTAGGCCCCAGTCCAATTTATACCCGTCAAACAATCAATTCTACAACAATTAGTGCATTTTAATTAATTTCAAAGTTTCACACCTAAACATGGAATTTACTGTTGATACAGAGAAAGAAGGGAATTAACCTATCCAATTCTTATACTGTAGGATAGTTGAGGATAGAAAATTTTTCATACCTGTGTTCAAGAACTAGTTATTTGTAAAGAAGCCTAGAATTTTTGTGTTGTCTGCGTGAAATAGTTCGCTGGATTTGCTACCTCTGTTTCGTGGTTTTGTTCGTGAGAAGGAACAGAAGGTTTCTCTGTTTTTTTCATATAAAGGATTTCAATCCTTTTGGTTCCAACAGTCCTTTATGGGCTTTTAGGTTTCTCCCCCTATTTTTTTTTTATTGCTTTTAGTTTGTTTTTGTTTTTTTTTTTTTTGGGTTTGTTTTGTTTTCACTTAACTATTAATTAATGATACCCACTTTTAATAATTAATAATATTAAAATTGTTAATATTCCCCTACTTGTGTATTCAATTATTTATAGATAGAGAAGTAACTCTAAAGTTAATCACAAGGGTTTAAATCCGTAATAGAAGTATAATTTAAGATTAAAACAAAATTATATTTAGCATGTGTTGAAACTTTTATAGATTTGAGGAGTGTTACATCATCAGTGGCGTATGCATGATTTTTCGTACGTAGTGTCGGCATTAAGAAGAAAACATATAAATAAATTATTGTAACGTCATTTTTATTTTCAAAAAAACAAAGACAAACCGTGTTAATATAACTTAATTCTATTATTTTGGTACGACTCGCCTTAACGAATTTGAATTTTTTGAACGTATTTATATTTAACCTCATTTCCAGAGATATTTTGTGTTTCAATTTGATGATAGTTGAATATACCAAAAGGCTAAAGAGGAGGAAGAAAATTGAGTAAAATTCATTTATAGACGGCCGGTGAAAACAATTGTCATACGCTAGTCATAAATTAAGTCATACAATTCATAGCCCCAAGTAAATCATAATGACTAGTCTAAATTAGCCTTCTCCGTGCGCCAACAAATATTAGCACTTGCATAATTCAAAATAACATGCGCCTATTTATGTGGCTTGAATTCATCTTCTTTTCATTACTATATCCAATTTATTTTTCCTTTTAATTGAGTAGTTCTTTTATTTCTTGTTCCAAGCTACAAAGATGACGTGTTTCATATCTTTTCCTCTTATTTGAAAGTATATATCCTCGTAGAAAATAGGTGACCTAGCTATGATTAATTATTGTCCTAACCTCATCATGTTTATCAATTTATGTGCGTAGATGCTAGGAAGCGAAGAACCATCTATAATTAATTCTTGCCGACAACTCGTGACACTGTTTGTTGTGTATGGTAGTCAGCCCTTTCTAACTTTTTTCTTTTAATTTCTAAAATAATATGATTATCATTTCACGAAAATATTAGGATTATGTGTTTGCTTCTATCCACCCATAAAATTAAACATAATAGAATAAGGAAAATTGTTTACCCTGGAATCCGGATAACAATTGAATTTATATGGGGTTTTAAGGATCCGTGAACTAAAAGATACAAAAGGTTTAGGTTGAGGAAAATAAAGATAAAAACTCAACAATTGCTGTTAAAGTAAATAATCGCAGAATATAATATTGCTTAGAACAATTGTGCTTGATAGCGTACAAGAATTTAGAGAGATGGTACTGTAGTGTAATGGTTTTTTCCCGGTGCCCTCTTTATGGGGTCTTCTCCCCTTTTATACATTCTGATTAAGGGTAAAAATAAGGTAGGTAAATTAATTACATCGTGGATCCCTGTAATTACGCCTTAATGGCCTGAAGTGGTTGAGAAAATCACGTTTGGGCGAGATATCCGGCGACGCTTGGTTATCCGTTACGAGTCCGGCTTCCGACCTTGTGTGTTTCTCCATCCGGTGGTGACTCATATCGAGCTCTGCAACGGTCTCGAAATGACTCGACCTCGGTTGTAGACGTGGCCGTCGTTCTACCTTGCATCCAGGTCGGGTTTGATGGCCCCGACTTGCCCCGGACCGGACCCAACCTGGTCGGGCTCAAGCAAAAAAAAGGGTATCACCCAATACAGTCTGATTATTTCAGGAATACATAACATGAAATTGATAATAGGTGAGAATAAAAAATCCAGTTTACTGTGACACCATATAAAATTATGAGAATCATTTCGTCAAAAGTTTTATTTAACTTGTTAAAGAAGGAATAGGTTTCTCTTTTTAGAAGGTATTTAATAGTTTGAACATATGTGATCTATCCATTGCTAATCTAAAATTTTGTTCTCTTAAATTACGTCCGTAGTAATAGATAGTTTAAAATAAGATTTTCAATCACAACACTTATTTCTTTGTTCCCTATTTACTGGTAAACTTCAGAATCTATAGTTTCTAGTATTTTCTAAGATCACTTGAATAATGGCTAAATAACCTTACCCAAAAATAACCATGTCTTCTTAGTCAGCCCTAAATATGGATAAATGAGGAGGTTGCAAAGACATTTTGAGAAGTGTAGAACTATGGTAACTATTGAGGTGGGTGACCATTTTTTCTTTTAGAGGTTAAAGTTGTTAGAGAGAGCACATATTTATTTACTTAATTACCCTCTTCCCAGTTTACGTGGTGCAGTTCGAATTTCGAGAGCCAAACTTTATAATTTTAACCTTAATTTGATCATAGAATTTTAAGTTTTTTAAAAATAAAATTTATATTTGAAAATAATATAAAAACCAAAAAGTACTACTCCCTCCGTTCCAATTTATGTGAACTTGTTTGACTGGGCACAGAGTTTAAGAAAAAATGAAGACTTTTGGAATTTGTGGTCCTAAATAAGTCAAAAAAGGGCCCAGAGTATTTGTGTGGTTATAAAAGCTTCTCATTAAGGGTAGAATTGTAAGTTTAAGCTAAATTGTTACCAAATTTAGAAAGGGGTCGTTCTTTTTTGAACGGACCAAAAAGGAATAGATTCACATAAACTGGAAAGAGGGAGTATAAGTTAATTTTTTATAAATTTAAAATATTTAAAAGGCATACGAAAAAGTCACAACCAATGTAAAACTTAATTAAATCTTGAAATCTGAACAGTGCACATAAATTGAGACGGAAAAAGTAAATTTTAGACGGCAAGCATTTGAGAAAATAGCACTACTCTTGCATCAGATAATGTGAGAGTATAACAACACTAATGCTTTTTCATTAGAAAAGGAAATTAAACAAGCTTAATTTTTCGAGGACGTCTACTTTTCATCAGTGTCCATTTCATCAATCATCATGCACGAATTGTTTTAGGCAAACTTAATACGTAAATGTAGCCTTGTAATCCTCCCAGAGCTGATCCACAGATTTTCCTAGCAAGTCACAGAAATAACTATGGCTATAAGCATCTCTCATCTTCTTGTTGAGTTCCACCACGAACCCATCTTTAAGAGAATTGCAGTAATCAAGAAACCGAGCTGTCACGTCGTAGCCTTGGTCCCAAGTGCTACCTTGGCCAGACTTCACCCAATGACTAGGTGCAAACCCAGCTTTGAGCCTCACATAATCAGCAACTCCTTCAATTAATCCTTGAGGAGCTTGTCCATTACCTTTCCACTGCCAAACATGGGTCATTTCATGATACAACACTCCAGTGATTTCTCTTTTCACGTCACCAGAGTAACCTTCTATGTACCTGCAGCGGTGGATTAAAAATTTAAACATGATGCATGGGTTAACTCTAACTAATTTTATATATGTTGTAATTTTCAAATAATTGAATCAGAATTTAATATTTGTTGAGATTTAATATATATATATGGGCTGCATCCGCCTCTGGCTTCACTACCTGGAATTGACATGGATCTCGTTGTTGTCTTGATATGCAACGTCGTCTCCATCCATGTCATCAGCGACGAATATGGTGATGTGTTGGACATCTTTGCGGTTGATGGGGCAGTTGATCTTGAGGATATCGTTACAGATGAAATTGGTGGCAGAATCAAGAGTTTGAAGGGTGTATTGGCCACCAATGTCACGGTCAAATCGAGTACCGGATGCAGTCGTAATGGTGACTGAGTAGTTCACTGCATGGATTCCATTGATGATTGCAAGGAATAACAAAGAATTTAAAAAGTAGGTCATAGTCATGCTTGAGTTTTCAAACCTTTAACGAGTTGTGTTTTGAACTTTTGATTGCTTCGATCCTTGCCCTTAAAGAGAAGATTTAATTGGCCTAATGATTTTTAATAGGGATAATATTAGATGAAAATTCATTATACGTATGGACTATACATTTGGTACTTGCTCGGAAGACTATTCTTATTGTTATATACTGTTGTTGTTATTAATAAGTGCTTTTTTTTTTAAAACAAAAAATGTAATATCAGTCTTTCATATCTAACGTTTTCCCGATACTTTAGCGATTGATCAAGATTTATAGTTTTATATGCTTTTAGTTAAGAATTGAATAGGTGCTCCTTGCGAGCTTGTCATGAACTGTAAATGTAATATTTGTCAGTTTGTTATTATCCTTCTAGCTAAAACCAACACGAATTATTTTTGTTTTCTTCTTCGTCTTCCTGGAACATATTAGGAATGCAAGATCCAAGATATGGATGAGATTAATGTCTATTTATGAATCGAAAAAGTAACTAAATAACTTTGTAAAATTAAGCCAAAACAGACCGAACAGACCAAATTAATGCACATGACATCTATACTAATATCTGTATATAATGACATGTCGACGTTAAATGCGTTGGTGCACCCACCACATTCGATTTCGGTTAGTCATACAAAATTAGGCAAGCTCGATTTTGACCGTATACAGATAGTCCCCTCATTTTTTGGAGTGCAATGAGAGAAACGAATTGAGTCTTCGAACTTCCCCTCCGTTTATCCCGACGTAAGCGGCAGAGGTGACTGAAACGTCTCATCGGTACAGTTCTCTAGGCATTTAATGCTTGTCAGTCGATGGTCGGCACCACCAGCACTGAACCGTCGTCTTCAGCCTATAAATGCATCTTTCTTCATCTTTCAAAACTTTACTTACAAATCTTCTTCCCTCTAATTTCAAAAATCTTTGCCTTCTTCAGAGCTCTATATTTTTAGATCTCTAAATTTTCTTACTTGTTCCATCGCAAAACACCAAAGGTTCTTCCTCCGTTTCATTCTTCCCCATCTACAAAATGGCTAAGACCTCAAAAACTGTCCCATACAAGGAAAGCGCTTCCTCGTCAAAGTCCGCCGACGCCGTAGCCGCGACGGAGCATCCTCTTGAGGACTTTGTTCCGACGAAGTACTGCCGCTAATTTCAGGATGGAGAATACACCCTCAACACCGGGTCGATGCGAACATATGTTGAGGTACATATGTACGGTTACAGAAGATCTCCTCGAGAAGGTGAAAGAGGAGTGCAACTGGGTAGGCAAATATGTAGTAGTTCCTACCTCCGAAAAATCCATCACAACTCATGTGGAGGGGTATCTGAGTGTCTACACTTACCCCTTCCGATAGGTCCCTTAGACCCATTCATCGTCGCCTTTTGCAAGAGGTACGATGTCACTCTTGGCCAAATCCATCCATCATTCTAGAGGATCGTGATCCTCCTCCGATTCTTTGCAAGTAAGATCGAGGGGCATCTTTTTACCCTCGATCACCTTATGCATCTCTACAGCCCCCGGCTTTATCGTGGAGGCATGATCAAGCTTTACCACCGAGCCACCGAGCCACCAAACCCCCATTTTCGAGCATAGACGAGGCCTGAGACCGAGGTTGGATGGGTAGATTTGTCCGAGTAAAGACTTCGGACCTAATCCTTGTCAATGACATGTCATTCCCTGAAAAATAGAACATGAATCGTAAGTATTGCTTTCCTTGAATATCTAACTCTGTCGTTTTGCTTATTTTCTTCCTTCCTCATCTAAACCTTTGTGTTTTAGCTGTGGCCGTCGTTCCGGAGGTGATCCCCAATCTCGAGCAATGGGTCAGGGGCCTGGTGTCACAGAGTTCATACTTGAAGCGTGCTTGGATGGAAATATCGAAGGGCTAATGGGAGGCCCATAACCATGGTAATTTTCTCTTCTTAGAACGCTTTCCATTCAAACTGAGCAGGCCTATAGGGACGACCCCTACTGTGATGGGACTGTCCTCCAGAAGAAACAACGCTGAAACCACCCGAAGCATGAGGCCTCTACTCATGCTCCTGACTACAAACCTGCTCTAGCCGCCTAGCAATATCAACCACCTCGTCGAACCTTGCACCTAATGCAATATCCTGAGTCATGAGAAAGCGCAGTCCATAGTTGATGCCATCAATGAATCTCCTAATCCTCTCCCTCTCTATGGGAACTAACCATATCGCGTGACGATCCAACTCTGAAAATCTCATCTCATATTGGGTCATGGACATACCCTAATGGCATAGCTGCGCAAACAGCATCCGCAACTCCTCCCTGCGGGTTGTGGAACAAACTTCTCTAAGAAAAGAACTGAGAACCCGTGCCACGTAAGTGGTGCAGAACCGGCTGGCCTACTCAACTCATAGGCCTCACACCATCTGAAGGCTGCCCCCGACTGCTGAAAAGTAGTAAAGAGACTCCACTAGTCTCCAAAATACCCGTCTTGCAAAGGATCGGCTGGCATATGTCTAAGAAATCCTAAGCATCCTCTGACTTAGTCCCACTGAAAGTTAGAGGCCTGAGCCTCCCAAACCTCTCTAGCCTCTTCTGCTCCTCGTCACTCATAGGTGGACCCACCTGGGCCTGAGCAGCTACAACCAGGTGGGCTAGTACTACCAGGGGCGGATGCACGTGTATTCAAGTGGTGTCATCCGACACCGCTTGATCGGAAAATTTTACTATATAGGCATATATGCAAAAAGTCAAAACGATAATACAAAATATAAATGATGTTTATGGCATAAAGCAGCGTCTGACGTAGTGGTCGGGCTTCATTTTTCTTGCCTGATGTCTGGGGATCGACCTCTGCACTAGACATTATTTGTTTTCAAAATGCATGGTCCTTTTGGAAAACTAGAGTTTATAGAGAATTGAACCCTCAATTTCATCATAATAATTAATCAATTAAACCTAACATTCACATTCTATAAGTGATTAAAAAAATATTTGAATGCGTAGAGGAAGTTATTTAAGCATACATGGAACCATAATTTTTAAAAAGATGCGATTTTTCAAATTTTAAACAAGCTTCTTTGCTATCGTCATTCTAAGCTTCTCATCTCTTTCGCTATTTATCCCACAGTTTACTCGTTTCCTTAAATATCGACACCGCTTACTAAAAGTTCTGCGTACGCCCCTGAGTACTACCCCCGGTGTCTGAAGTCCCTGAACCACCTACTCTAGAGTATGGGGGGTGATAGTCTAAGCACCTCCCCCGGCCTGAGAAGTGGTTGGTGCGGCCTGAACTGAAATTGCTTGAGCAAGGCTAGTGCATACACTCAATATCTGGGCCAAATGTCACGCCCCAAAAACCGAGGAGCTCGACCGGCGCTCAACCGAGTAAACCCGACTGAGCAAGCCTGTTAGGTTTCATACTACCCAAATTCGTCTTTGAATAAAGAGGAAATGTACACCATTAATCAATTATTTAACGACTTCCATTTCATTTCCATTAGCAACTTCGTTCATAATTTTCAAGATATTACAAGTTTTATACATCTTTGCCAAATTTCAATATTTCTATTTTGATTCCAATACCCGACACCACCCACAACCCGTCTACGGAGCCTCTAAATACAACTGAAGAGAAATATGGAAATACCGGCAACAAGGCTCCGGCTATACCTCAAAATATGAGTACATGATAAACAAATGATACAGGACACCGAAATGAAGTGGGGCTCACCAAGTCGGCTGAAAAGAGGATGCGCCACTAGCCGCGACCAACACTGTCTGATATGGAATCACCTACATCCAGTTAAAGATGTAGCGCCCCGGCAAAAGGGACGTTAGTACCATGGAATAGTACTAGTATGTATAACTAAACACCATCTCATTAGAAAGGACTATCATACAAGAACAAAGAAATCATAAACACCATCTTAATAAAAAGAACTATCATACAAAAACAAAGAATGATAAACACCATCTCAGTAGAAAGAACTATCATTCAAGAACAAAGAAATCATAAAGGTCAATCAAAGCTTTAAACAATCACCACATCATCAATCGAAGAATTATATAACTTTCACATAATTCCCATAGCTCTAGGTTGCGGCATTTAATACTTTTCAACATCATTCACAATACCACCGCTTTATTGCGCGTTCAATCACGACCCGATCGGCTAGGTTGCCTCATTTGAGACATGTACTTCAATCATAATCCCATTCTCACTTTTCGGATTCAATAGCAGCACAATACCACCATGTGTGCGGCATGGTATCCGATCACAACCCGATCGGCTAGGCCGTCTTACCAAGATGTTGTTCATTTTTCATTAATCATATCATTTCAATCTTTATTTCACATATATCAATTCATAAGAACCTGGGGCCACAATCACATCATACTTGGCACTAGGCCACATTTCATAACTCAAGCTCTTCTTCCCCACATTTCACATCATTTTCACATATTTCACATCAATATCAATTTCAACAACAAGCCATTCAATTCAAGACTTCAAGTACACACAAGAGGAAACATGAATCATGGGCATATAGAATATTTCAGAAATCATACACCAGGCACAATTATAACTCAAGTTCTCGGTACGTTGGCCACACTCATTTTCCCAAATTCATTTCAAACATCTTTATAGATTACCAACAACTAGACACAATCAATCAAATACATTTGGTACATATAAGAGCAATTAGGAGTATCAACCATATCGAGTTTTCTCCCACGATTTGGCACAACAATCTCAGTTTAAACTTGACTTGAAGTCTAGGCATTTCAACACATGGTTCACATTCTTCTCACAACCTTAAATTACCAAGGATAGCATATTGAACACATTGAGACACACCTTTCACGTATATATTTTGCAGCACCAATTCATATGAAATAACAATCAATACATCAATCAAATTACGGTCTTAACAACATTTGCATGGACACCAAAGGAGCTCAATTTCTAAGAAGAGGGGTTTTTAGCCATACATACCTCAATAGAGCTTTCCTTAAATTCATACAAAATTCCGGAACACTTAGCAACTTCGATCTATTTTATGAAAATTACAAGTTGAATCAAAAAATCAGAGAGATGATTAAGATTCTAGCTTATTTGAGTATATTATCAAGCACTAAGTGTGCATTGTGATTTTAGGACCCTTTTTGTGAGAGATTTTTATCATCCTACACCCCATTTGTTATATTTTTAGCTCACAATCCCCCCATACCCTACTACCATTCATGCATGCAAGATAATCAATCCCTATACCCATGAACCCACTTGTTAATCACTTGTTTTAATAGGAATTTCAAAATCAAAGATTAGAGCACAAGTTCTTACCTCTTAGGTTGAAGGCCTAGCAATTTTTACTTGAAAATCTTTAAAGATTTGGGCAAGGATTGTAGTGACTTGGGAGAGAATTTGTTTCTCCCTCTAGAACTCCTTCTCTTACTCTAAATGCAGTAAAATAGCATAAAAGGGGTCTAATGGGGTGTTTTTAATGGGATGGGGTCGGGTTTTAAAAGTTAGAAAATAGAAGCCCCGACCCAATCTGCGGTCGCATATGCGACCGCATAACTGATATGCGGCCCGCAAACGGGAGAATGGCCCTCAAAACTTGAACATTCTGCTCGGGTATACGATAAGAATGCGGTCCGCATACCTGTTCTGCGGTCGCATAATGCACCGCAGAACTGCCCCTCGCAAAATTCCAAGGAGGTTATGCGATGACTATGTGGCCCGCATATTGATTATGCGATCGCATAATTGGCCGCATAGTTGACCTCAAAACTAACCAACATTCTGCCTTACTCTGCAGCAACTATGTGGTCCGCATAGCTATTATGCTACCGCATAATGGACCGCAGAAACACGTATTTCTGAAAAATATTTAACTTGACACTACGAGATTTCGGGTTTTTGAGTAAAAATTTCACGGGGCCTTACACCAAAGCCTCCTCATGGCCTACAAACACAATGGGTACAACTGGTGCCTTAGCTGGTCCCATCAGCTCAACCATATCTGGTATCTGCTCCTGAGATGGAGAAATTGAGAGCTTCACGGGTGCTACTCTAGCTGCTGTACGAGACGCACCTCAGCCTCTACTGCGGCCCCAGCCTATCGCGACCCTAGCTGGTAGTACTGGTGGTCGTCCCCCCGATCCGGTAGGACGTGTCCTAACCATCGATGAGACAATAGAATAATAGAAGTTTAGCTCCCGAAATCAACAAATTTGCACAACAAGAATACAAGAAAGTGATGTTTTCCTAATTACTCAGTAGCCTCTTGAAGATAAGCACAGACGTCTCCTAGAGATCCGCAAGACTCTACTAAACCTGCTCGTGACTCATAATACCTATGAACCAGGGCTCTGATACCAACTTATCACGATCCAAAATCCCTACCCGTCGTGATGGCACCTAACACATCGGCTAGGCAAGCGGAAACATGATAACGAAGGCAACAAAATAACAAAATTTATAGAAATTAGTTTTAGAAAATAATATTTACGGTTGTTGGAAATGAGTTGGAGACCGATTGGGCTGGGTCTTTGCATTCTGGGCCGTGACAAAGGTTTAGGCTAAGACCTATTGAATTTTATGCAAGAAGATTAGACCTACTTTATTAACCCAAACGATGATCTTTTCCTTTCTTACTTTAAAAATATCATGGGCTTCTTAGTCTTAATAAATAGACTCCATAAAAATTTAATTTGAAAATATATAATATTACATATTAAAATAGGTAATTAACTCAATAATAGTCATATTACTGATAATGATAATAATACCAACAATAAAATAATAATTTTTGTAGCAGTGGTAGTAGTAGTAATAGTAGTGATATTAAGAATACCAGTAATAGTGATATTAAGTAAATTATTATAATAATTAGGTCTAGTTTATACTAAAAATGGTAAAATAACTATTCTTATTATTAGCAATATTAGAAGCTTAAAGAAATAGTTTGGAAGAAAGGAGGGACAAAATTGGATGTCAACATTGAACCCTGAAGAGCCATCTTTTTGCCAGCTGGTAGAATAAAGTCCACCTCATCCTCTGCTCATAGAAGATCCTGAGCTTAAACTCCTAATAGCTTTGCTTTGGGCTGTAAAATTGGCTTCCTGTAGTCTAGCCAAGTAGTAAGCCTGAGGTAAAGTGCCGGGGTTCCCCACTCTTACAGCATTACTCAATTCTGGTTTAAGGTTGTTGAGAAAGATACTAATGGCATGTCCAGTCGATATGTCCAACCTAGTCATGACACTGTTGAAGGCTTGCTGGTACTCCTTCACAGTTCCTGTGTGCTTAACATTCATTATCTCAGTCATGGGGTCAGTATATTCTGCACCAAAGCTATCACATAATGCCCAAATATACTCCTCCCATGCAGGAAGGGGCATTTGGCCTCTACTCCTCATGTACCCAAAATGCCACTGTAGGGCATCACCCTCAAAGTGCATAGATACTAATTTCAGCTTCTGTTGTATAGTAACATCCTCCTCAAAGAAGAATTGATCCACTTTATACAGCCATGTCCTTAGGTCCTCACTATTGAACCTTGGGAACTCAACCTTAGCATACTTAGTAAATAGGAGTGTTGGTAGGGAAGTGTTTGGTGGATGAAGGGCAGCTTGCCAAGAGTTGTTCCTAGGTGTGTTATGATGTGGATTAGGAGCTGGTTCATAAGGAACTTGGTGGTATATAGGTGGGGTTACATGAGTATTACTTGGTAGGCTAAGGGGTAGTGTGATGGCTGATTATAGGGGTTGTAAGGATATTGAACTCGATTAGGGGTGTTAGCATATTGATAAGGTTGGGTATAATAATTTCTTTGGGATTCAGAGGGAAGATGATGTGGAGCTGGCTGGTTTCTGGGTTGAGGAGAATAGGGACCTGAGGGTCCTTGTGTACTCATCATAACAGGCTGTGTTCTTATGACTGTGTTGGGGTTCTGTAAGCTAGGGTTTAGCGGAATTTGGTTCGAAGGTCCAAGAGAAGTCCAATTTACTCCCACTGCAATATTTCGAGCAGGGGGTACAAGGTTTGAAGTCGGAGTACTGCTAGGGAGAGAAATACTTGAAGAAACTGAGCAAGTTCCTCCCATGGAGTTGGGAGTTGCCATTTCTCCTATACTGAGAGGAAGATCACTAGGAGAATACAACTCACCTCCTCGTGTATCTATGTCTTTGCCTCGTTCCAGTCTTCTGCTGCCATGTATAACCTCATTAAGCACTTCTCTCAAATCGTTGACAGTTTCTTCCTGATTTTTGCAGGTCCGCGCTTGAAAAGCTTCAAGCTGGTCTTGACGAGCTGTGAAGCTAGACATATCTGCAGCCATCTTGTGTAACATCTCCACGACCTCAGTAGATTCTCCAGCCATGGTTTCTCACAGAGCCCAGAATATGCTCTGATACACTGATGCCGATGAGGTCAATGTAACAGTAACGAAAAAAGAAAAAAGAAGCTAAGAAGAGAAAATTAGGGTAAAACAAAAAGGGGTTTTCAATTATGACCAATCTGCAGCTCATTGAGCATTACATATAGGCTCCACTACTCACTACAAAACAAAAACCTATAACTACTTCTGACAGGGACTATATGTGTTAATTGAAGTTAAATCTATGGGCCTAATTACAATTTACCAAACTTGCTTCAAGAAACCTATAGGGACTAAACTGCTCACTTAACAACTTTCAACTTAGACGCCTATAACTAACTTCTAACAGCTAGGTACAACTCATTAGGCTGTCCGTACATGTCACGCAAGCTGAGGCCAATCTTGTTTGCATCAGCTAGGGATTGTGTTTTAGGCGGGATATTGTTTTGTGCTTCATATTTCAAATGAAGTCAAATGGAGCCGTTCAAATCTGAACGTTGGAACCGCAGTAGGCTGTTACACCCCAAGTTTTCATACGTGAGAGTACGTCGTAAGTCATTGATGTAAGCTCGAAAATGAGATTATATTTGGAAGCAAATAAAGTAAGTTAATCATGTTACCTTGGAGGTTACAAATATTTAAGATCATGAATAACAAGTACCAAAAGGGTTGGAAAGCTTAGTCGCTAAACTAATTGAAGAAAATAGGTTTCGTCGAAAATCGACAAGTTTGGAATGTAATAACATATTCTTTTGGGGAGAGACTAGGGTGATTAACATGATGAGGAGGTTAAGTTATGAGTTATTGTAGTCGTATGATAGTCGTGTGTTATGTTTTGAAGTCAAGCGAGTTGTGGAACAAAAGTTGGAAAAAGGTCATCACAAGTTCCATTCATAAATGTGCTGAAAATTAGGTCAAATGTAACTGAGCTTTTCTCCCAATATCTTGGAATCAGGGGATGATCTACATATCAAATTGAAGATCTACGAGTCTAGTTTCCAATGCATTAAACCGTTCGTCGATACGATATTGGAGTAGAGAGATATTTGCATTTTTGCGAGACAGCGCAGACTGGTAGGTGACAAGTAGGTGCATCACCTACTATCCAAAATGAGAGGACTTAATTAAAAGCCCCAAAGTCGGCCAAGAGGGGTCTTTTAAGGGAATAAAAACTGAGTTATTTCACCTGTATTTCAGACAAAGAAAACCTAATTGAACCCCTGCAACTCCTCCCCCAAAATCCCACACAAACCCTAGGGTATTCCGGGTGTTACGACGCGATTCTAGTGCTGAAAACTCCGGACAGCATGCTAGTTTCTCTTTCTCCTTCTTGTATCTGTGTTGAGGAACTTATTTTTGATGAAAAAGGACAAGGTTTCGTGGGTGATACTCAGTACAAGGTAAGTTTATGCTTCTCCTTCCATTATCTATGCGTTTGCGAGTTGTAACTCGATCGTAAAGAATAGACCTAGCTAGTTTCGGAAGAATGGTATGTTGTTTGATCTTGTGCAATGGTTGGCTGGTTGTGAACTTATTTTTAAGTTAAATTCATGGTTGGTTTATTGTATAAGAGGTGTAATGATGTACTTTTGGTTGTATTTCTCAATTTGAAAGAAAAGACAAGTCGAAACGTGTTTAAGTAAACCGAAAAATTATGTTTGAGTTGATGAACTTGTGGGACTGTTTTTGGGCTGTTTTGTGTTGGTATTGGGTTGTCTCTTTTACTACTGTTTTTGATGGAGTTGAAAGGAGGAAGGGTGTGGAGAAACACCACATAATGGCAAGGTTGTTTGTTGGTCGTTCATCGTAACATTTTCGGATTGTTTGACACTATTATGGTTGTCGTGTTGTGTATGAAGTGATAGGGGTATGTTGGGCTATTTGTGATTGTTTTGACTAGTGTAAAGTCATATATATAGGGGAGGTGCTGTCCATTTCATTGTAAAATAGATTGTGGTCGATACATAATAGTTACGACACTTAAACGATAACGAGAGTGTCATTTCTCTTATTGTAGACTAAGGAGCCGTGAAATTGCATAGCTTGAGGTTGGGAAGAATATACAAGGTATGTTAAGGCTCTCCCTTCATTCTTTTGGCATGATCTATAGTGAAACGAACGTAAACGATACGCTATTTCATAATGAATCTACTCCTAGCAACTAAGGTTGTCCATGTTGTTCTTTCCTTACAAAGTTATTCCAAGAAAGTATGTATGATCCTTGAGTCCTAGTGAAGTTCATATTGATGGTATGATGTCCATAATGTTAATCGATGGTGCAATGACCTTATGTCACTCCAAAAGGTTTAGAACGTGACTCCATGAGTCCAGCATGCATTATATATGTATCTATTTTACTCTACCGAGCCGCGCTATAGTCGGCCGGGTATGGCACCTATTGTGCAACCACTGATCAGTTGGGTTTACCGAGCTCCACGTGGCCGGGTATGATTCTACCGAGCCTTATGATGGCCGGGTACGTTTTTACCGAGTCCTCTTTGAGGCCGGGTATGATATGATGATGATGATGCCCATAGAGGCGTATGTTTTTAAAGGTTTATGTATATATATGTATTATGCATTTCATGTCAGTAGCCCTCAGAGGCACTCAGATGTTACAGGTTGTATCTCCTCTATCTCTCT